TTATACATTTTATATATATATATATATATATATATATATATATATATATGAAATGAATGAGTATGTCTTAAATCAACTAGGGCTGCAAAAGAAAACAACAGAAGACTGGTAGCTCTGGATTCCAGTTCTTGGTGGCCCGTTTCCCTTGTTCCCTGAGCTGCTTGACATATCCACACCACCCTCGTGTCTTCTACAGAGGCACCAATGGGTAACTGTTAGCTGAGGGCCAGTCTGTGCACACTGCTCAGGAAGCTCATTCAACACCAACAAGATCTTTATTTTCAGGCTGTTTCCTAAGTTGTACTTAGTATTCCCAGGAGCATGCCAGATGGATTGATGATGTGGCACATAGGTAAGCGTTCTTTAATTTCATAATTTGATATTATTAAAAAATGGAAAAATTAATTACTGTGTGCTCCAAGAAGTATGGATTGATTGAAAGAAAAAAAAATATTTGGAATTCGAATTGCATGTATGAAAACCGGAAAATCAGCAGGGTTAAAGTGTTAAAGTAAACACTCTTCCTATGATCCTGAGTAATTTCCATAGTCTTTGGAAATCACTGTCTCCTCATCTTTAAAATGGGTTCAGTAATACCCACTTCACTGGAATGTCATGAAGTTTACATGAAATAGAGAATAGGAAGTGTTTAGCACATAACAAGTGTGATTAGATGTAGGGTTTACTCCTCCTTTTCTGCTTCTTTCTCTTCCTTCCCATTAGGATTTAGATCTTAAATGGCCTTGTTTTGAAGACTTGGTTGCAATCTGTGGTTCTATCGGGAGGTGGTAGAACTACTAGGAGGTTGGTCCTAATGGGAGAAAGTCAGATTATTGGGGGTGTGCCCTGAAAAGGGGATATTGGAACCCTAGTTCCTTTGTCTCTCTTCCTATTTCCTTAGTTCTAGACAGCATGAGATGAGAAGCTTTGCTCTATCATATGCCCTGTACCATGATATTCTGCCTTACCACAGGACCAAACACAAAGGAGCCAAATGATCATAGACTGACACCTCTGAAGCCATGAGCCAAAATAATTTTTTTCCTTTATTAAGTTGATTTATCGCAGGTATTCTGTCACAGTAGCAAAAATATGACTAACATATCCCACTAGCCTTCTCTACCCCAAGTTCTAATCCCAAGGCTCTTTTGGAAATTTGGTTCATCTAAGTTTCACTAAGATGTGAGTTGTCAATAATTGTATTTGCATTCTGATTGCACAAGTTCTGAAAACCAACAGAACTTCTATTCATAAATGAATAAATATTTCAGTGATGGGATTTCAGATCCACAGAGGATCCACAGTCTTGTAAAGGGAGACATTCCTCAAGACAGAAAAAAGAACACCACCTAGATTAGTTGTCAGGTCCAAATGGGGTGCCAAGGAGTCAACATTTGCCATATTCTAATGAACAGCTGTCACATCCTGTGGGCCAAGGTATTTGCTTTCTGGACTACAAAACCCAAATACAAATCCATTAAGGTCTGAAAAGAAATTTAGTTTCTTGGGAAAAAAAAAACAAAACAATAAAACCAACTATGGCTACTCACCCAGGAATAACCAAAGGGAAGTGAAAGCGCTAGGGTCCGTTTTGAAGCTGGGTTTTATTTTCCAGTGGATTGGCATACACAAAGAAGCATGGTTTGCAGGAATCTCCCATGAGCTCCCCAAGGTCCTTTGTGAAAATGTAAGGTATACTGACTCTCACCCAGAGTGAGAGAGGCATGTATTGTCTGGAAACAATTAGAGGTATTTTTCCATCTTGGTCTGACAACCTCGGATACATAAGCAGTTGGTGGGGTGGGAGGGAGGAGGCAACCGGGTCTGAGTTCTACTGTTAACCATTTAAATGGTTAAAGTATTAAAACTGATTATGCTGAATATGCTTGCAGCCCCAAATGGTGGGCATTGATGGAGCAGGGAGTCTCAGAGAGGCTTAAAAGTCACCAGGAAGAAAGATCCGGGAGCTCGGGAAAATATTTTGTCACCACTAATGGTTTTCCAAGACATTTCAGAAAAACAGTGTGACAAGGAGAGGCTATTCAGGGCAATTCCTGAAGCAACATCAGGGGTGACCTGGGGACCTGGGTGACTGCAGGTGAGCCTGGTATCACCGGATTTAAGGTGTGTAGCATCAGCGCCCGTGGCCCAGACCAGATGAGGCAGAGGGACTCGAGAGCAACAGGCTACTGGCACACAATGGCCTTTTTGTGAAAATGTACCGATCTCCTGGAAACGGCCCTTGGATTATTAAAAGGGGGGAACTATATGCGTTTACTTATTGGTTTGTTTGTTTTGAAAGGAGGCTGGAGTGGAAAGAGGGGTCAGCGAGGGGTCAGGAAAGCTTGAGAAGGTGCTCAAGGAAAATGGGCCACTAAATACAAGGACATAGGCAAAACACAGGCTTACGGCTTTGGCAAGTTTCGTGAAAAACCTTTTAAGCTCTATTTTAAAACTGAATTTAGGGGCATATGTTCCCACCTTTCCTGTGTTTGACAGCAAAGTCCAAATTGGCAACTGCTGCAAAGGACAATTGTGTCAACAGCACAAGGTTTTGCATTTGCCAAATGGTCGTCGGCAAAAAAAAAAAAACGCCTCCTGTTTGGGCAGGGACCTAACACTCGGTGGTGTGTTTTCACAGCTATGGATTAGTGGATCCTTATGGCAAAAGTACAGAGGAAGCAGGAAGGCATCACCATTTCAAAGACAGGGTCAAGGAGACTGTGAGAGATAAGAGTCTTGCACGATATCACAGAGCTAGCAAGTGCTGGTGTGAGGATTCATACCTGACCTTTCCACCCTGCTCAGGTTCAATGAGATCGAAGGTGTGGGGCCATAAGATTGTGACATTGCAGTCCATTCTTTTCCTTCCTCTCCTTCTCCATTTCTTCTCCTGCAATGTGTCTCTAGCTTCCAGATGGAAATTAGCCTGAGGAAAACACCTTAAGACCGGAGCTGAAGCAGAACTTAAAAACTATGGTATGAGATGCTTGAAGTCTTAAGTTTCAGGCTGAGCGAGGGAGCATGCTTCAGTTGGATTTCAAAATAAACTTTCTAAAATATAAAATTCAACAGAAAATTTCTGCCTGCAGATTATGAGCAGATTGGAGGATGAGAAGATATCTCAGCTTTCTCCACCCAGATTGAAGACTTGTTCTTGAGAAGATGCCCTCTTCTTGAAAATTACCAGCTTTCTTTTTTCATGGATAAAATAAAATATTTTCCTTGTTCAATAAGAAGCAAAATAACACGAGAGACTAAAAAAATAAAAATATTCATAACATTGATTCTATGCTGAGGAGAGCTGGTCGGTCTTTTCTTGGATGAATTTGTTTCATCACAAATGGAGTCTCTTCCCCTTGATCAGAAATGACCTTGGGAATTGGAAATATTGCTTCCTTTTGATTCTTGAGACAAGTTGGTAATTACCCTCTGCTTTCATCCGTGAGTCTGGAGCTGGCAGTTTTGCCCATGCAGACCCTTCAGAAAGGTGGGTGGGTCATGGGCAACACCATGGGCTTCCAGGAAGAAAAATCAGAAATGGCAAAGACCAGGCACCAAAACTCAGTCGATTAGCAGGATGTTTGGGCATCTCTTCGTCCTCATTTAATGCAAAATTTGAATTCATGTGTCTAACATTTTCTTGGAAAATTTTTTCCACAGGAAAAAAAAAGTGAGAGTTAAAAGCCCAACAACAAAAGTTGTGTAAAGCCTATAAGACAGTAGGTACAGATATCCCTTCGGTGGGGCCATTCTGTCTGAGGGCAAATGATGTCACACATGTCAATACATGTTACCCTCTGTTCCCCTACCCTCTACAATACTTCAACTCCCAAAGGGGGAGCCAAGTTAGACTTGGCACCTACTATTTGCAGGAAATGTATAGCATTAATGAAAAATTATTTTTTATCTGAATAATTAAAATAAATGTATTAGGCTGTACTAGTTTTTTACCATGGTAAAAAAACAAAATGTACCACTTTAACTATTTTTAAGTTCACAGTTCAGTATGCTAAGTGCAGGCATCCATCTCTGAAGGAGGAGATACCTTCTGAGAAATGGGGTGCTTGGCAATTTTGTGCTTGTGCAGACATCATGATGGACTTGCCCAGTTACAATGTCACTATCATCTTAAGAGACCACAGACCCAGATGTGGCCCTTTGCGGACTGAAATGGAGTTAACCTGGGGTGTGACTGGATGTTCACTTTGATGTGTTTCCAGAACTTGCAAAACTGAAATTTTTTTTTACATGTTCAAGAGCAACTCCCATTTTCCCTCTCCCTACATTCTTTCTCTATGAATTTGACTACTTAAGAGACCTGACAGAAGGGCAATCACATCGTATTTCCCCTTTTATTTCACTTAGCATGGTATCCTCAAGGTCCATCCATAGCATAGTGTGGGCCTGTGCTGAGATTTCTTCTTCTCTTTCTGAGTCATATGCCCCTGTACATGCCCGCCCCTCCCCCCACCCCACGACGTCTCACTTCTCCATTTATCTGTTAGTGGAAATTTGAGTTTAGCTACTTTTATCTTTTATTGGTTTGTGAAGAGGTAATTCCTCTGTCATTTAGAAAACATGACTATAAACATAACTATAACAGGAATTTTTATTCAAATCGTTTATAGAAAGCTGAGTTTTCTTTGTAACCGTCTAGGATTGTGATATTCCAGGGCTAGTCACTTTTATCTCTGTCCCTGAACAAGGACCTCATTGTCACCTGTGGGTGACCCATTTCCTTCTCCTTGAAACCTTTGGGCATGAGTGCTTCTTTTCTCTTTTCCACGTGCCTCCACTCCCACCCTATGACCTTCTTTCCCAATGCAGAGGGAAGTCCTGACCTGTCCAGGGCCCCGCCTGTCCTTACCTGGAGGGGACCACCACCCGCCTCACCTCATTGGTCATCATTATTATGTCATCCAGATCAATCAGTGGGCACTTGCGCCGTGGTAACTGTTGCTTTGATCATTCGTTACACTTTGTTAGTCCTCATCAGATCCAGGCCCCACTAATCGGAAACAGCGGGCCTCCAAAAGCAAGGCAGCCTGGTGACCAGGGGCAATTACCACATTGTTTGGTTTTTAAATTAGTCCCTTCTTGGTGCTCTGATCACCATCAGGAGGCTGGTGATTCAGAAACCCAGGGGGTGCCTGCTGCTGTGAGCAAGGAGGGCTGTCTTGGGTTCATGCTCCCCCAGCCAAAGGTTCCAGGTGAAGGGTGACCTCAGTGGGCCTGAAAACCATAGTCCATGACCTAAAAGTTTAGGAAAAAGGGATCTTTGCTGGAGCTTCTCATCCACAGGCCTTTACACTCAAGATGATTCTGTTATAGTGTGGCCTCCACAGCGGGGAGCTATGGGAACTTGTCATGAAAAGCCACAGCAGCAACAGAATCCCACGACACAACAGAAATCATTTTTCTTCTGGCCAAAACTCGAAAGGTTTCCAGAACTGATGATGAGGTCTCCGGGACAGGCAACTCGGGCTTTCCCATAACTGAGAGAGAGCTCCAGCTTCCAGCTCACAGTCCTGGGGCTGGTCCAGAGAAAGGTGGGATAGTGTCATTTGGTAGGAAATTACAGGTCAGTCTGAGCCATCTTCCGGTACTTCACTTGCCTGAATGTCAGTGTCTCCCAAACTTCAGGTATTTATATGTACTACTCCCATGATTTTTTTTTTTTTGCCATGCCCACTCCACTTAAAAAAAAAAAAGTACTTAAAAGGAAACTGTGTCTCGCATTTTGAATGGAAAGCAAATGTTTCTCGTCTTCCTTTCAGCAACGAGAGTCTAAAGATGCCATTTATTCCCTCTCTACCGGGCACTCACCCCTGTGGTGAGTAGCTGAGTGAATCCCCCAGGTTCCCTGTTAGTAGGGTTGTACAGCCTTTATTGTGACTTGGTGTGGGGCCACTTAACAGCCCCCAAATAGTAGGAATTGGATTTGGCCGATTGCTATTGCTAATGAGCAGTTGTAGCTCATTCCTAAAATGATTTCTGTGAATTAAATGCGGTAAGGTCTTGTGTTGGAGGACTTTGAAGGTTTCAGGATGGGCTAAATGGGATGGGACAGGAATTTTTAGCCAGGGCCCCTTGGCTCATACCAGGCAGGGCTTATCTTCTTACATAAGGTTGGTGTTCACTAGAGCTGACATCCATCCTTCTCATCCTCTCTCTACACACCTTTGCCTGCTCTTTCCTGGGATAGGCATCAACTCTCATGTTTTAATGGCCATACCAGTGACATTCTCTTATCACAAAGCTTTTACTCCCAAGATGTCCCCTTGAGTACCTATAAACTATATCAAAGCACAAACTCAGTTTGCTGCCTTAGATATCATGTGGTGCAGATGTAGCCCAAATACGCAACTTTCTAAGTACCTCTGATTTTCCGTTTTCTTTCTCAGAAGCCACAGTTATCAGTAGGGGCATAGCTGAAGCATGCCTTTTGATTTAAAGTAAAAAGGAGATATTTTGTTTTTCAGTAAGGCAGAATATATCTTAATGTAGTAATTGAATTTACTTCTATTTAGTCTAGTTTGATGGGGGTAGAGCTAAAATTGTGAGGCCAGAATTGACATCGTTTAATACTTAACAGATGGATAGAAAACAAAAAGTTTAGGAGATAAGAATGTCAGAAGGTTACCAGCTGCTGTGGGCATAGAGTTAAATGGCATTTATTCGAAAGGTTTGTCCTATGTTTATTGATACATGTCTTTCCTTTTGTTATATCTTAGATTTGCGAATTACTGAGTGGGAAGGCTGTCTTTTGGCTAAACCTTAAGTGGGATGCTAAGTTCTAAGCAGTGTTTTTGGTTTTATGTAAATGGACCTTATGAGGCAAGAAGCTGGTTTTTACCATTGGATAGTATAGAGTTCGGGGTAGTATTTTGTTAGCACGTTAACTCCATAAAAAGTGGTAGGCATTCGTTTCTATTCTCAAATTCAAATATCTGAAGCCCATCCAACAATTACAGGAGGGTAATCTACATTAATTTTTTCCATGTATACTAGATATGAAAGTCTACTTCTAAGAGAACTCCTGAGTTAAAGTCCACCTTTATACCCTGGAAAGGGGAAAGTCACCATTATAACTGGAGGCAATTACTCTCTTGAAAGTTTCCTAAGACTTTTGGCACCAACTCCTTATCCACTGAATCTGTGTCTAATGTGGAATCAGTCAAAATGACTCCAGGTGCTGAGGAACGTTGGGAGCCCAACAGGAAACGCTTCCCAGCTGAGGCAGTGACTTCCTCAGGGATGTTTGGCCAACCCCAGACCCATGGATTCAGTCTCCCCAGCTTCCCCAGTGGAGATCCATTTGCTTAACTGTTTAGCAGGGATTCTTTAAAAAGCAGTGGATTCATTCTTTCTTGAAAAGCCATGGAAGCTATACTAAGTACTATTATGGTCAGGTCTAGGAAGGTTACTTTTATGCACATCTCCTGTGAAAACCATTAAATAATTCTTTGGGTCAAAAGGACAATGCATTAGGATAAATGAGTAGGAAATAAGAGAAGTTATCGAAGAGAAAGCAGAATCCTTGACAGGAACTCTGCGTGTGGTGGGATGGATTGATTCTAGGGTTACAGGGAATTGCCGAAGGAAAATGAATTTATGGGGAGGGCAGGAAGACGGGGTGGGGGGAAGGATGGGCAGGTTACTGATGAGAATGTGGCTAAATGATTGAAGTTCCAGAAACCTAAATATAAAACCAAACATGATATTTCCTTAAAGCACCACCCAGTACTCATTCTATCTTGATAGCAAGTCATACCCAATCAATAATTATTTGTTGAATGAGAGCTATACACTTACTACTATATTGAGATTGATGGGCAACACTGATGTGTGAGGAATCCCAGACCTCAAGGGATTTATAAACCCATTGGGGGAACCAAGGGTTGGATACAATAAGAGGCTGTAAGGGAGTAATACTATCAAGGGCAAGTGTTAACTTTTAGGGGTTCAAGTCATCAGTGAAGGCTAGGATTCCTATACATGGAAACTTTGGGATAGCTGCCAAAGGCTTCATGAGAAGGTGGCATTTGAATTGTGCTGTGAAGGATTTTATTTGCTCACCAATTTTTGGTAGAAAAAAAAATTCCACTTGAAGCCATTTTTGTTTTAAATCAAGACTGCTCTTCTCTCAACCCCCCACCTCCAGGTTGTGGTACTACTTTCTCCTTTTTTGCTGATTGTTTTTTCCTTTTTTTGTTTTTGTTTTGTATTTTTGGTACCCGGGAGCACTTAACCACTGAGCCACATCCCCAGCCCTCACCCACTGAGGCACTTATAACCCAGAGGCATTTAACCCCTGAGCAACATCCCAAGCCCTTTTTAAGAAAATATATTTTATTTTGAGACAGGGTCTTACTAGGTTACTTAGAGCCTCGCTAAGTTGCTGAGTCTGGCTTTGAACTCATGATCCTCCTGCCTCAGCCTCCTGAACCATTGGGATTACAGACATGCACCACCAGGCATAGCAAGCAATGTTGGTATTCCTCAGGTTTGGAATGTGACTGTCTTCCAATTCTATGCACAAATCCAAACATTGTCAATATGATGTATTGAAAATGCAAATGAAAAAAAAAATTTAAAAGGTGCCCCAGCACAGTGTTAAAAAAAAAAAAGGAAAAAAAATGCAAATGGTAATAAGGAATAACATGACAGGAAAATGTGTATCAGTAGATAGAATTTAATTAAGAGTAGTGGGGCTTGTGGTGAGACGGAGCGTTCTTTTCCTGCCTAGTGGCATTCAGATTTAAGTTTAAATATATGTATATGCTTTTCAGGCTCAGCAATTTACCTCTGTTAGCTGGAATTTGGGACACCAGTGAGTGAAGTGTGATGGGTACACTGATTTTTCTTGAACATTGTTCTTAGAACCTGAGCTCTTCTCTTGAGTTTCAGATTTGTTTTGGTAACTACCTAGTAGTCATCTGCATCTGAAGTGGCCCAGATATTTTAAATCTGGATTGGAAAACTTCGACTCATGGGCCAAATATGACCCACTCCCTCATCCCCCATTATAGAGGAATGCAGCCTCAACTATTCATTTCTGTTATATCTAGACTATAGCTGTCTTCTCCCAACAAAGACAGAGTCCAATAGTTGTGACAGAGACTGCCTGGCCCACAAAGCCTGAAATATTTACTATCTGGTTTTTCCAAACCCCACCTTTAGCCAACATAATCCCAGGTGAAGTCATCCTTTCCTTCCCCAGACCATCTGAATTGACTCCTCACTAATTTTGAACTCTCTCTGACTCCTTCTTCTACCTTCACCCCCTCACCTAAGACCTGACTTCAGACCTGACATTGCACATATCTGTCCCCTCCTCCACCATGTTCCTGGATCCCTATTTCTCATCCAGGATCTGGTATTTCTACATGACCACTAGATTTACATTTTTATAAAAGCAAATCTAACCAAGTCACTACTTAGACTCCTTTAATGATGTCCATTTACTGCTAGATAAGGATGCACTGTCCTTCCTCATTTATATTCCCACCTGCATGTCTGGAATAATTTCCTTCCTTTCTTCTTACTCTCTCTAAAGTTTATCTTACTAAAGTGCTTAGCATTGCCTTGAATGAGTCATTCTCTTCTTCATGCCTCAGAGAGATCTGCACTGCTTTCCTTTTAGCTCTTGGTTTTACATCTAAGGACCTTAATTGTCAAAATTCAACTTCAGCATCACCGTCCCATTCCCGAGCTCTCATGCAACACTATCCTCACTAGAGCTATGGCCCTTCTGGTTCTGCGGTACATTATGTGTAACTATTAGAGTATGTCTTAAATTACATTAAATTCTAATTATATTTAATTCTCTCCCCCTTTAGGTGTGAATTCCCAGAGGGACTCTTTCTTTTATGTATTTATATCCCTATAGCTATCATAATGCTTGGCAAAGATTAGGTGGCTCAATAAATGTTCAGTGAGTTCCTGAAGCTGATTAAAAGTCAACGAGTCTTTTACAAACAAGAACTAATCCCTAACTGATGCACATTCGCAGTTTGGAGAACCACCAAACTGGGGGGTAAGTAATAAGAACAAATTTATAATTGATCAAATGAGTTAATTCAGAAAGGAGCCTTTTGAAATGCAAATTGCAACTGTGTTATCCCATCCTTGAGCCGTCGCTTCTCTGCTTCCGCTGCATTTGGAATAAAGCTTGAATCTTTGAGTCAACCAATATGAAGCTGGAATAGGCAGTCAGCCTCTTCCCGGCTTCCACCTGGCTCACAGTGCTCTGGGCACCCTGTCCTCTCTCCCCGCTTTCTCAGAGGAGCCACCGTCTCTTCTTCTTGGGGTCTTTGCATCTGCTTTCCACCGTTCAGGATCACTCTTCTGCTCTTTCTTTGAACAAATGCTATGAATCTGATTGTCACAGTCAAGGTCATATCCTCTAGGAACTTCTCAGACCTAGAATTTTTTTTATGGCACCTGGTCTTTCCCGTTAAAGCACTCACTACTATTTATAATAGAATGTTTAATTGTTGGTGGGTGTGTTGGACAGCTGCCACTCTTCCATGGAAAGCACACCTGGCAAGGGTCATATCTATTTTATTTATCTTTGGCATTACTTGTCACATTCTAGGTGCGCAATAGGATTTGCTAAATCAGCAAATAAATAACAAAGTGAACGTTCTGGATATTTCTGAATAGCAAGTGGTTAGAAGTGTCAGCAATACGTGGGGTAGATTAGAGTGAGCAGTAGGGTAGATTAGAGTGAAGATTAATAGGACGCTCTTGCATCTGTGTGAAGCAAAGGTGTTTGAATAACCGTGGTGAAGTGGAAGTGGGGTTGGAAAGGAAGAGGCAAGATTATATCTCTTCAGATTCTGATCTTTCCTATCATGAGAGCTTGGGGGAAAAAATCTGTGAGGATGAATATAAAGTTAAAGTTGGCCATTTTCAAAAATATGTGTACTAAAATCAGAGTTTTCCCACATAAAAAAAGACAATAGAGTCAATGTTTCATTCAAATAGCAAAAGGCAAAAGATGAAAAGTTTTGAATAACTTTTAAATAAGTGTTGCATAAGAAATATATGAAATGTATGAAGACACGAATGGTGTGATTATACTTTATATACAACCAGAAATATGAAAAATTGTGCTCTATATGTGTAATATGAATTGTAATTCATTCTTCTGTCATATGTAACAAATTAGAATAAAAAAGAAATATGAAAGACTTCAAAAATCATAGCGAAATTATAAAGAAAATGTCAATACATCTTTTGATTATTATATATTTCAATGAGAAGCCTCAATGTTATAAAAGGCAAATTATCACTATTAATCTGTAAGTGTAATGCAGTTCTTCTCAAAGTGCTTGGTGGATTTTGGTGAAATTTAATAAACATGATTTAAAGATCACCTGGATGAATAAATATTTGAGAATGACAAAATTGTTTATTTAAAAAAAAAGAGGCAATGAGGAGAAATATATTTTCCATAAATTAATAATCTTAAGCTATAATAATTAAAACAGTATGATAAACAGTGTAAGAAGAGCCAAAGAAACTAATTGAACCAAATGAAAAATCCAGAAATAGAACCAAATCTTTATAAAAGTTTTTAATATGATAAGATATTTTCGTCGCTGAGCAAAGGATGAATTATTCAATAAACAATTTTGTACTCTGTAAATATAGTTGAAAATTGAAATTATGTCTCTACTTCATAACAAAAATTATATTTAGAGTTAAAAAATATATATCATTAATATATAATGAACAGTAATTCATAAACATATGTCAAAATTAGCAACTTTTCCTCAAAAGGGAATCTCATAGGTCCAAATTTTAAACTCAATAATAATTTATTATATATACATTAAACCATTAAAATATTAAAAGAAATTATTCATGTACTCTTTGGGTAGGAAAGTGCTTTCTATAATGATATAAATGTAGAACTCCCAAAGGAAAAGATTGATATATATTTAGCTATCTAAACATTTCTTTGTTAGAAAACTACCAATTTTAACAGTTACATTGTAACCTAGAAAAATGTTTGCAACATTTATAATAGAAATATTTAAATCCTCCTAATATATAATAGGCTCTTATAAATTTAAAACTTTAAGTGGAACACCTTCTCCAAAATGGATAAATTTAGGCAATCAACAAAACCACATATACATTAACACACTAACTTACGCATTTTACTAGCCAACAAAGAAATGCAAATACTGTCAATATCAAGATATAATTTTCACCCACCTATCTGATGAAATAAACATTAAAAGATAACTTTAAAATCAATATGGGGGGGTGATGAAAATTGCCAAAAATTTTCTAGAGGGTGGTACATGTCAAAAATCTCAAAAAGAGAGAGAGAAGAATATAATTATTTTAAATCATTAAATCTCATTTCTAGAAAATTTTCCCCACAAATTAAAACTATACCCAAAGATTTTATAAATTCAGAAATTTATAACTTGCATTTTTTCTTTTTCTTTTTTTATTGACTTTTTTTAAAAATACATGATAGCAGAATGCATCACAATTCTTATTACACATATAGAGCACAATTTTTCATATCTCTGTATATAAAGTGTATTCACACCAATTCATGTTCTCATACATGTACTTTGGATAGTGATGTCTATCACATTCCACCATCATTGCTAACCCCCTGCCCTCTCCCTTCCCCTCTCACCCCTCTGCCCTATCTAGAGTTCATCAATTTCTCCTATGCTCCCCTCCCTACTCCACTATGGGTCAGTCACCTTATATCAGAGAAAACATTCTGCATTTGTTTTTTGGGGATTGGCTAACTTCACTTAGCATTATTTTCTCCAATGGTATCTATTTACCTGCAAATGCCATGATTTTATTCTCTTTTATTGCTGAATAATATTCCGTTGTGTATATATGCCACATTTTTTTTTTATCCATTCATCCACTGAAGGGCATCTAGGTTGGCTTCACAGTTTAACTATTGTGAATTGTGCTGCTTTAAACACTGATATGGCTGTGTCCTTGGAGTATGCTGTTTTTAAGTCCTTTGGGTATAGACCCAGGAGAGGGATAGCTGGGTCAAATGATGGTTCCATTCCCAGTTTTCCAAGGAATCTCCATACTGCTTTCCATATTGGCTGCACCAATTTGCAGTCCCACCAGCAGTGTAAGAGTGTGCCTTTTCCCCCACATCCTCGCCAACACTCATTGTTGTTTGTCTTCATAATAGCTGCCATTCTGACTGGAGTGAGATGATATCTTAGAGTAGTTTTGATTCGCATTTCTCTAATGGTGAGAGTGATGAACATTTTTTCAATTTGTTAATTGATTGTATATCTTCTTCTGAGAAGTGTCTGTTCATGCCTTTGGCCCATTTATTGATTGGGTTATTTGGCTTTTTTTTTTTTTTTTTTTTTTTTTGGTGCTTAGCTTTTTGAGTTCTTTATATACCCTAGAGATTAGTCCTCTATCTCATGTGTGAGGGAAGGTGCCAAAAACATGCATTGGAGAAAAGGTAGCCTCTTCCTGGAAAAACCGGAAATCCATATGCAGCAAAATGAAATTAAACCCCTATCTCTCACCATGCACAAACTCAACTCAAAGTGAATCAAGGACCTAGGAATTAAACCAGAGACTCTGTGTCTAATAGAAGAAAAAGTAGGCCCAAATCTCCAATATGTGGGATTAGGCCCCAACTTCCTTAATAAGATTCCTATAGCATTTTTTCTTTATATACTTTTTGAGCGCCCATATACTTTTGGCTGCTGTAACCATAGGTTGAGACACAGGAATAAAGAAATAAGAATCCCTGCCCTCATAGAACTTTCATTCTTATAGAAAAAACAGCAAGTAACCAGATCAGTGAATACAATAATACGGGATTGTTGAATGTGCTATGAAGAAAACCAAGAGCAGAGGATCGTCAGGGAAGGTCTGAATAAGCAAGCAGGAAAATCAGGAAGTGATCAGAAAGTCCAAGGTAGCAGAATCAATGCAAGTGATTGACGGAGAAAATGAGAATGTGACCAAAATGGTTTAATATGGTAAAATCAAATTTAAAAACTTCTATATTCTACCACAGAGGGTGCACTGAATAAAATTATGTGCTTTTAAGCAAAATTCATGGTCAGTGGGAAAAAAAGGGTGTGACTGTGCTTTTGCCACTTAGAGCATGTGAATAAAATTTACATAAAGGATTATACCTAAAATCCACATGTGACCTTAGATTTATTTTTCAGTCAGAAAGCAGTTCCACCCTTGAAAAAAAAATTAGGATCTATTTGTATGTATGGGGCTAAAGACAGAACAGAAAATACTGATATGGAAGCAAATAAAGTGACTTTAGCTTATAGAAGGAGGTTGACTAAATTATAAGAAGAGTGGACTTGGGCAGGACCAAGTCTTTCCTGTGTGAAATTCAACTCCCCTTCAAATCCATCTCCCACCCCCCACTTGCCCCTCTCTTTTTAACATTGGTGTTCTGGCTTCTTGCCCAAGAACTTGAAAATGAAAGGATAAAAAGTGAGCTTAATGTTCTTTGCTAGGCATAAGTCCCCTTTCTTCTTTAACACAGACGTAGGAGCTCCCCTGGGGACTAAAGAGTAAGAATCCAGTATTTTTCATAGATTTGAGGGCAGCATCCTAAGGATTTAGTGGGAGCTGTAAGAACAGGGGCCCCCTTTGGTCTCTGAGGTCTGTTCCCCAGTGTGTGACCATGCTGTTTTCACATATGGGAAAATGCAGGTGGAATTTCTTTCCAATCTTAACATCCTCCGGTTAAGTCATATGCTTGCCTTTCTCAATCACTTCTGTGCAAACATGTTTTCCTAATGAGGCATTATATGTCTATAAAATCAAGATGCTTTTCCTTAAAACTAATATTTTGTTTTTAAAAAAATAATATTTGTATTAGTTTGTGGACAATAACATGGTATTTTTAAAAACTTAGTCTTCTATGGTGATACTTCCAAATACTGGCAGTCATCTGCAATTTATTTGTGTTGTGAAAAAGAATTTGGGGGGCATGTTTCCACATAGAAGTCATAAAAATCTGCTTAATGAAGTGAAAAAAAATAATTGTCATGGTTAAAGATAAAGCTGAAAGTTTTCAAAATCATTGATAGTAAATGGCAATGCAAAAGAAACAAAGCCCAGAAAAGTTAGAGAAAAAAATACACTCAAAACATTAAATATGATATGTGTACTTTTTTTTTAAGTGGGTAAATTGGAAAAAAGATTTTTAGATAGGGTGACATGGAGATTTTGAGAAGGGTTCCAGAAACTTTTAGGGGCTGGGAAAATAATGCAACAGCACTTTTACTAAGTTGCCTTCCTAGAAAAATGAGCAGATTTTCTTGGTGCTGCCTATTGCTGATAATTCGGCTTGGTCTGGGGCTCACAAATGGGAAGCAGATAGGAAAAGAAAAATTGAAGTGCGGTAGGCAGTACTTCTGAGGCAAAAGCAGATGGTGGGTTTCCTGGAATCTTTTCTCATGTAAAAACCAGCGTTCCTTCCAGTCCTCTTTATGAATCTCTCCAAGTGACTTTTTCCTTACCCATGGATCCATCTATTGAATGTAAGTTGATGAGTCTCAAATTGGATCTTGAATTCACTTTATCGTTCCAAACTTCAGAAATATCTCACACCTCGTGCGGACTTGTCTCGCAGATGGAAATTTGTCCAACAAGCACATTCATGCCCCGCCCCCCCACCCTCAGTCTTTCCCAATCCCGTCTCTCCCAGGAGGCAAAAGAAAGCAAGCCCTGCCCATCTTCCTGCCTGGGTTATAGCATCCTTCCTTTGCATCCCCAGACACCTGAGCTAGCTGTACTAGGGTCAACTTTGACTTTCTTTCCTCCTTGGACCCCACATGCAATCAGTAATTGCATCCTCTCAATTTTCCCTACCAGGTATCTCTCAACTGTGTGTGCGCCTCTCCATCCTTCGCAGAACAGCCATCATTCACTTACCGTGATAGCCAGTCGACCTGCCTTCCGCCTTGCCCCCTGCAGTCCATTTTCTGGGGGACCAACAAAGGGACTGTTCCTCTATTCAAAACCCTTCAGGGGCTTCCCCTAGTTTATCATGGAATTTTCTAAAGGAAACCACCTGCTTTAATCAGCGCAGGGAACTGGGCAGGGGTGGGTAGAAGACCCCCTTCCTGTTCATGTACAGATCCTTGCGCACGGTTCTGGGGCAGTAGAGTCTAGATCTTTGGGAGAAAATGAATGGGTGAGACTTAGAAATGTACATTTTAAAGCAAGTTTGAGTGATTTTTTTAAATATATATATATATATATATATATTAGTTACACATGGGCACAATGTCTTTTATTTATTTTTTGATGATCGAACCCAGGGTCTCACAAGTGCGAGGTGAGCGCTCTTCGGCTGAGCCACAACCCCAGCCCAAGTTTGAGTGACTTTTAAAAATGACTTATGTTTGGAAATCACCGAGTGATTCTGGATGAGCGCCACTCCTTTCCCTGGTGCGTGGTCTTCTGCGCTCCTTCCACTGTGGCTTTCTTTCTCCTCTGACGCTCAACGGGCTTCTCTGGATTCTCTTGCATGCCTATGTCTTTGCTGGAATGGCCTTCTGGCCGCCGTCTCTTTGGTAAACGTGATTCATTTTTCAAATCCCGGCAAAGGCTGGAAAATTGAGTTAGAAGAAAAGCAATTATTTGTCCAAGGTTTCTGAGGGTGCTCGTGGCAGTTCTTAGGGCACATTTTAATGGCCATTTTCTATGTCTCCTTTGGTTCCCATTAAAGAAACCACCAGAACTCCTCTGTTCTCTGATCTTTATTTAAGGATAGAACCAACCATGCCATTAGAAAATGGGGCATAAAAATAAACTCGCACCTGTCCCCACTGACATTTACAATGGGGCCATATCTGAACCACCTGCAAACAGGCTTTTTTTTTAAGTGGCTTTGTCAATGGAAGGACCCTTAAAAAGCAAGAATAATAATTGTTATTTGTTCTAAAATCCAAATGTATATTTTTCCATCCTTTTTATTTACAATATAAAGTGCTTTTTTCAGTAAATCAACAAATATGAGTATTCATGTCACCAAGTGCTGATGATTAAAAATAATTACTTTAATGGGAGCTGGCCCAATGCCAAACACGATCAGGTTTTGCATTTCAAGCATGATGGTGGATAATTTACATCTCCTTTCGCACCAATACCCACCATTCTTAATGGATTCTATTTTAGTTTTTATGAATTAATAGAAATTTAGTGGCTAATTCTCTACATTGCAATCTACCATTTGCTTTTAGAGTCCATAGATTTTTTTAAAAAAAACAGAGGCTCAAAAAATCACATAATTCTTTAAGTTACTTATTTAAAATATTTAGCTGTCTGCTTTCCATGAGTTGTAAGAGGACAGAATGGAGAGGAAAAACAGGACCAGGTATCCTACAGCTCAGGAGGGCTCTTATTTAATACAGGAGGCCTTTGCATCAAGTTGGTACATTGTCTCCTTCACAAAAAAAAAGAAAAGCACAAGTCCCCTCAACTCAAAATTCCCAGCCACATCTGAGGGGCCTGGTCCTCTGGCTGCAGGTAGAACCTCTCTGTGTGAGAGAAGACAGAATCACCTCCTTTCTTAATTTTCTTATTTCTTTGAGGTTTCATATATAATGAAAATATGTCAAAACAGGGTTACAAAGAATTGTAGCAGATTTTTAAGTGTTTATGTTTAACAAATTAACACCTTTAAGAAAAAATAGCATCATATTCTCCAGAAGATAATTATAGGATTTATTAAAAAGATATATACTAATACATTGTACCCAAAAGGCAGTGTGATCCTTTAAATAATCCAGTTTCTATTTGTATGATTTTTTTTCCATACTGCCTGTATATTTTGGTGACATCATATAGACAAAGTATAGCATATGGTCATTTGAAGATAATGCCCAAAGTAAAAATGTGACTTTACCAAGTGAATACACCCACTAGACAGACTTGTGCAAATACCTCAAATATGTATATACACCTTTAAAATATTTTCATTGTTGAAATGATCAGGGGACAAAAGGGGAAGCATTTGACTCTAAAAATTTGGCTATAGCAAGCAAAGACTTGGAAATCTCACCAAATCTTGGGTCAATAGGAGACTCTACTGGTACAGGGGAGAGACAGGAAAAGAGTTAATGTATGAGGTGCTCCAGGGACACATAAATCCAGGGCGGCTAGTTCTAAACATTCCTTGAATAACTTGGCCAATTGTAGACATGGAGAAGACATAGATTTATTTGCTTATTCTGATTTGTCACTTTTGCCATTCTCTCTGAAAGTGGAAAAATGTCACTGTAACTCAGGTGGTGCCTTCGTTTATAGTATCTCCTTTGACCTTGAAAGCTCAAGGTAACTTGGGAGAAAGAATAGTGGAGCCATTTTGCAGAAAGAGATAACTGGGATTTGAGATGTCAGATGAGCACACATTTTATATTATGGTTGGAAGAAATGATTAAAATAGTCCCATTGGCTTTGGGAAAAAAGCAAATGCATATCAGATACTAGCTGAACACCTACAAATGAAGCTCTTTTACATAATTACACACACACACACACACACACACACAATGTATTTTATTCCCCCAAGAACAGTATATTCTCCCACTTTGCCTGGCTTAGGATGTACCATTGGTATGAAATCACTTTGGACAATGACACTCCTTATTCCCCAACCCAACCAAATTGTAGGGTTTAGTAGCTCCATTCAGCTGGCAATTATATAGCATATAGGAAAGTTCCCTTAAGTGTGAGTGATAAAGTGAGAAGTGTGGTATGCCAAAGCCATCCGTATCTTATCCTACAAAGTCACCTATACTTTCTATGGAAACTCTCTGTAAAAGTAACAAAACACACACACACAAAGACAGAAAGCTGCAAAACCTATTCTGCATCTTGGGATAAACTCTTTCCCATAGGGTGGTAACCCTGTCCAATCAAAGTCCTTCTTTTAGAAAGTGTAAAAACCTAAACAATCTAGATCATCACTGAGCTCTGAACAAGGTCAAAATAGGAGATCCTGGGACCTAAAGAGCTGCAAATGATACCTTGTCTCCTATTATCCATGCCCTATGCTTCCTTGCATCTTCCTCACTGAAAGGAATATTCACTTTCTCCACGATTCTAAGGAAGTTGCCTCCTACAGAATCCATAAAATAAAAATTTGTTTTGTATTAAATGCAAAAGAAGGAGGAGGAGGAGGAAAAGAAGATGAGGAAGAAAAGACAGAAAGGAAGAGAAAATAACTGGGGACATACGGCATGGGCGGGGGCAGATAGGGATAGGTAGATGATAGATAGGGGCTGATTTCACTGTGACCTCTCAGACTACCTCTGACCAAGGCATCAGGATGCACATGAGCCACCTATAAGAATATGCTAAGAAATGAAGCATATGCAATAGAAGTTACTCTTTCTTTATTTACATTCTTCCCTAACACAAATAATTTAATGTCTCCAATGATATGAGTATCATTAGTCATTGGAAATAAAATTAGCTTATAAGACAGTATTTATTTTGGGAGAGATGGTAATATAATGGATAAATAGACATAAAAACAGACCATTATAACATGGAATGGAAAGTTCTTGAAATCCAGCTATGTGCTCTAGAGGAGGGAATGATCTAGCAGAGGCAAAACTTGGAATCTTTGCTGAGCAAGCCCTAGAGATTCTCTTGGAAGAAGGATCTAATTAATTGATGAGTAAAGAAGCCTTGTGTAAGTATGTTCTGTTCTGTGCTCCTAAGGAGGAATTGTAATCCCAATGGTTCAGGAAATCAGAAGAGTGTCTGTGATCCACCTAGGGCCTGTGCAGCAAGGACAGACACAGGTGGAAATTACAGCTGCAGAGGGACCCCATTTTAAAAAAAAATAATCATAGTAGTTAAACTGAATTTAGTTGTTATTTTGTTGTAGTTTAAATATATAATCCTATTTAATCCTTACAATAATGCTCTGAGGCAGGCACAATGATTACATCCATTCTAGATAAACCAAGTGAAGTTTGCCTTTGGTCCAAAATCTTGCAGCTGGGAAATGATGTAGCTAGGATTTGGACACCAAAACCCATGAACTCTTTTCATAAGGCCCTTTCTGTCTCCTCCACTGACTTAGTCCACCCCTCTAGTAGCTTTTGTGCTATTTTCTGAAGCTGTAAAAAAAAGTGCCAGACTTGACACCCCTAACCAAAGGGTAGGGATGGAGATAGTAGTCATTTCTCCATTTGCAACAGAGGTGGGTTGACTGAGGACCTCAAGTTTGCTGCTGTTGTAGCCTCAGTTAAGGGGGAAGAAAGTGACTCTCGTGATGCTACGATATATGTACAATAATGACAGATCTCCCCAAAACTCTTATCCCTCTATTGGTTGCTTTAAAGTTGATGGCTTATTGCTGATCTGAAAGGATGAAAATAAAAAGAAAGAAAGAAAGAAACCATAAACTCATTTTGTAAACAAGGCCATTTCTAATATGCAATGGTGGTTTAGAGCTGGGTCATGAGAGCCCTGGAACCTATTATTCAAGTCTGTGACTTATGTAGGTCAGTGTAAATAACCCCAGGCTCAAAAAGGTTAATGTTTATGAAGGGCGAGGCATCTAATCAAGTGGGTGGATCAACATGAGTTATAATGATTTGAGCCAATTTTTTGACTCAGTAGAGGTACAAAAACTGGGTAGCAACTGAATTTTGTTCCTTCTCAGTGTCAAGGAAATCAGTGGGATAACTTAGAAATCCTAGGAGTGCTGATTTTCCAAGTCTCTTTGGGTACATTGTAACCAAGAAATTCTGTTTTGGTACCTCAGTTATTGAAAATCCCCCAAAATGCTTCAAAGGCATTAAAAATGCTTAAAAGCATTTTGCAGTCAACTTTATCACATAAAACAAAAACCAATAATAGCAAATGGATTTAAATGGGAGGATAATAAATGTATGTGATTTTTTTCCCTTATAAATCTTACATGACTTTGTCAACTTGCATAAGCAAATATTGCCACATAACCATAACTTTATCACAGTGACAAAAGTTCATGAGACAGTGTCAGCATCTTGTTTTGGGAAATGCTCAGTCATTTTTTTTTTAATTCTTGCTCTTTTTGCTTTAATGATATGTGCAAAAAACATGCTTTCATCATAACCTTCCATATAAGATGCTGCTATTGACATCTGAGGATTAAGTTTTAATT